GTTAAAACGGGCAACTTTGAATTCTCACTATCGGGAGCCTGTCACGCTATGCTGCGATCCCCATGCCTGCTAGACCGGAAGCCATAAGTCGCATTTTTTACAACTCGTCACCTGCTACAGAGGCCAGCAGAAGACTTTTTCAAATGCGTCAGCTCAACCGTCAGGTGGTTGATTATGCCATCGAGTTTCGCACAGCGGCAGCGGACAGCGGGTGGAATGTTCCGGCTCTTTGTGACGCTTTCATGACTGGACTTTCAGAGCCAATAAAAGACCAGCTGGCTCCACTGGAGGTGCCCCGGGATCTGGAATCGCTCATCGCTGTGGCCATCCGGATCGATAACCGTCTTCGGGAAAGAGAGAGAGAGCGTCGACGCACTCGTGACGTTCTTCCCAGTTTCCAGGGTTACCCTCGGAGGGTCGCGCCGCCAGGTGGGGATTTCCAGCCCGTGGTATCGGACCGTCGGAAGACTGCACTTCCGGATTACTCAGGCAAACCCATGTAGTTGGGAAGAACCAGGCTTTCTCTGGAGGAGAGGCAGCGCCGTCTACGGGAGGGTTGCTGTTTCTACTGCGGTCAGCTGGATCACCAACTCGCTTCATGCCCGGGAAAATATCGAGCTCACCAGTCAAAAGGAGGGCGCTGGTGAGCAAGTTTCCCGTAGACTTCCCTCCTCGACCTGTTACTCAGGTAAACATTTTTATTAACAATCAGACCATTGACCAGGGATTGCTCATAGACTCAAGGGCTGACGAAATGGACTCAAACAGCTAAAAATAAAGACTGTTCCGCTATCTCACCCTATTAACACCAGTGCTTTAGACGGTCGTCTGTTGTTCACAGTTACCCATTGCACTGAGCCCATTCAGATCACTGTGAATAAGGACCATACAGAGAGTATGCAGTTTCATATTTTTGAGTCGGCTCAGCACCCGATTATTTTGGGGTTTCCATGGCTGAAAACACACAATCCTCACATTGACTGGCGTTCAGGGAAAATTAAGGAATGGGGAGAGGATTGTATTGGCAGGTGTACACATTCACAACCTGTTAATGCACCAACAGACTCTAGTAGAATCATTATTGATCACCCTGACTATCCTGATCTACAGAAGGTACCTCCCTGTTACCATGATTTAAAAGAAGCTTTTAACAAGTCAAAAGCTTTGTCGCTACCTCCTCACCGAGATTTGGACTGTCCCATTGATCTCCTACCGGGTGCCCCCATTCCCAAGGGGAGACTTTATTCGATTTCGAGACCTGAGAGAGCAGCAATGGACGACTACATCTCCTCTTCATTCAAGTCAGGGATTATCCGTCCTTCATCTTCTCCAGGCGGAGCGGGGTTTTTCTTTGTGGGAAAGAAAGACGGGGGTCTGAGACCTTGCATAGACTACAGTCCACTAAATGACATTACGGTGAAAAACCGCTATCCTCTGCCACTCATGTCATCTGCTTTTGAACTGCTTCAAACTGCCAAGATATTCACCAAGTTAGATTTAAGAAATGCATATCACTTGGTTAGAATAAGAAAGGGGGATGAGTGGAAGACAGGATTCAATACTTAGAGTGGTCACTATGAGTACCTAGTAATGCCTTTTGGACTATGCAATGCACCGGCTGTGTTTCAAGCTTTTGTGAATGAGGTTTTGCAGGAATATTTCGGTGTTCGTGTATCTTGATGATATTTAGATTTTCTCCCCAGACGCTAAATCTCATGTTAACCATGTCTGCCAGGTTTTGCAGAAACTGCTTGAGAATCAGCTATATGTCAAGGCAGAAAAATGTGAGTTCCACACAGAAGAGGTGTCTTTAGGATACATAATCTCACCTAATCATATGAAAATGGATCCTGCTCAAATCAGTGCAGTATCCCAGTGGCCCACACCAGACTCCAGGAAGAAGGTTCAGCAGTTTCTGGGGTTTGCTAACTTCTATAGGAAGTTTATTAGGAATTTCAGTTCTGTTGCTGCCCCTCTGCATGTTCTGACTTCTCCTAAGGTTCCCTTCAAGTGGACTCCCCAGGCGGACTTCGCTTTCCAACGCCTCAGAGAGAGATTCACATCAGCTCCAATTCTCACAATTCCAGATCCCCAGCGCCAGTTTATGGTCGAGGTTGATGCTTCCAATGAGGGAATTGGAGAAGTATTGTCTCAGCGTTCTGTAGAAGACAACAAGATGCATCCATGTGCTTACCTGTCGCGGAAGTTGACAACAGCAGAGCGGAATTATGACGTGGGAAACAAGGAACTGTTAGCCGTAAAAGCTGCCCTTGAGGAATGGAGAAACTGGCTAGAGGGGGCAGAGCAGCCGTTTTTAGTCTGGACAAACCACACAAATCTGGAGTACATAAGAAAGGCTAAACGCCTCAACTCCCGTCAGGCCAGGTGGACACTATTTGTTAGTAGGTTCAACTTCACACTCTCCTTTCGTCCCGGATCCCAGAATCAAAAACCTGATGCTTTGTCTCGTCTTTACGATCCAGAACCACTTGCTGTAGAGCCCAAGACCATTTTTCCACTTAACCGTGTGATCGGAGCCTTTTCCTGGCAGGTGGAGTCGGACGTTAAAAAGGCGAATGGCATGAATCCAGCACCTAGTGAGTGTCCCAACAATCTGCTGTTTTTTCCTGAGTCTCTCCACTCCAAGGTCATCCACTGGGCTCACTCGTATGTGCTTTCGTGCCATCCGGGAGTAAGAAGGACAATGTTCAGGATAAAACAGCATTTCTGGTGGCCAGCCATGAGGAAGGATGTGGCCAGCTGCTGCCGGTTCCCCAATGTCCTTGGTCACACATCTCAATGGATTTTGTGATGGGACTTCTCACATCCAGAGGCAAGACTACGGTCCTAACAGTGGTGGATCGATTCTCAAAGATGGCTCACTTCATTCCATTGACCAAGCTTCCCTCTGCCAAAGTCACCGCAGAGGTCATGATGAATCACGTATTCGGGATCCATGGATTCCCTGATGACATTGTTTCCGACAGGGGTCCACAATTCATTTCCGTTTTCTGGAAGGAGTTTTGTCGACTCATAGGCGCCACCGTCAGCTTGTCATCAGGTTATCACCCTCAGTCAAATGGACTGTCGGAGCGTCTGAACCAGGAACTAGAGACTACGCTACGTTGTCTCGTTTCCCAGAACCAGACCACCTGGAGTGACCACCTCATGGGTCGAGTTTGCCCACAATACTCTTCCTACGGCAGCCACAGGTCTCTCTCCATTCCATTGTGTCAATGGTTTCCAGACTCCGCTTTTCCCTAACAACGAGGAAGAGGTGATGGTTCCATCGGCTCATGCCACGTTGTCGCAGAGTTTGGGCTGGTGCTCGCCAGTCTCTTCTCCGAAGTTCAGCTCGGATGAAGGCCAGTTCTTTGAAGGTGGTGAGGTTTACAAGGTACGTAAGTTGCTGGAGGTCCGTAATAGGGGGAAGCAATTCCTGGTAGACTGGAAGGGTTACGGTCCTGAGGCTAGAAGCTGGGTAGCTGCTTCATTTATTGTAGACAAGACTCTTATCCAAGATTTTTATAATCAGCCTGGGCCATCAGGAGTTGGGGGTAGAGGGGGGGGGGGGGGGTCATTTTGGGAAATGACCTGGCAGGTGGTCGTGTTTGGCCAGATCATGCAAAGCCATTCAGGGGTAACAAAATAAACATTGCAGGAAAGAGTTTTCAAGTTAGAGGCGAGGACTGGTTTTGTCCTGATAAGTGTGGAATGATGAACTTTGCTAGAAGAAGCCGTTGTTACAGATGTGGCAGGAAGAAAACCATGAGGGCACATATGATAAAAGCTGGAGGAAGAGATAGTTGGAAAACTCTGTCTGGTAAGCGCAGGGGTCTCTTCAGTGTAAATGATTGGAAGTGAAAAACATGTGGCAATGTCAATTGGGCTAGAAGGTCAGAGTGCAACATTTGTAACACACGGAGTTATGCAAAAGAGAGCTACAGTAACCTCTTTGGGTAAGATGGGGCAGGCAAGGGGAGCTTCGTCCCATTCTTCTTGAAGTTTTGGCCGTACAGGCATTCCCTGTTTCGTCCACAAAGCAGCAGTAGTTGCTTTTCCTGGGGTTAGGCTGTAATGATTGCGGGTTTTGTGCACATTTCGGTAGTCACCTCATGTAACTTTTTTCATATTTCCTTCTTTGCCTAGTATCACTTTTGATAGGCTTAGAATGCAGTTTGTATGTGCTCTTAAACGGGCTACTCGGATTTATGAATTGGAAGAAAATGTTGTGTCTAATGTTCTTGTTTTGTTTCAGGATCTGAGGTGATACCTCATTCTTAAGGGGGGAGGTGTGACAGCCCTAGGCCTTAGACTCAGGTCCCTGGTTAGCCACTCCCCAAAGTCAGAGATTGCTGACACCTGATTTGAGTGCTCAGCTACAAGTATGGGTGCCTGAGCAGTCAGTCTCTCTCTCCTCTTCGGTTGCTTGGCTCTACTGGACCTTGGTTTGTTTGTTTTTTCTTTATATACTGATGCATGATCACACACCCACACACTACACACATTACTGATTAACTGACTCATAGTTAACTTAGTTTCTTTAAATAAATGCACTTTAATTGGACATGAATCACGTGTGGTCTCCTTCTTTTGTCCGTCCTTGAGCCAGGGCGTGACACAATCAAGATGGCATGGCTAGTGTAGACTTATTAACTGACCTTGATTTGCCATTTGTGGCTGCTGTGTTATTTGACAGTAGTTACATAAACTTCAAAACGAGCTACAACCGCGCTCGGGTATTAAAAATAGCACTCCTCTCCTGATCATACGACACATAATATATACATGGATTTAATATTTTAAGTTGTTGATAAAAAAAATCCTACTTTGTGCAAAACGGCCAAAGAAATATAATGATGTATGGTGGCCCATAAGGTCATAGAGACGTAAATAAAGCAGGGACTTGATCAGCCGGTCCGTAGTTTAAAGAGTTAAACGTCGCTGCCCGGTGAACACACCATTAGTGATCAAAGTGATCAATGAACTAAAGCTCAGCCTCAGAATCAAGAGAGAGTCTTTTATTCAACAATATTTAGAAACATTGAAAGAGAAAGATCACAGTTTGACATTTAGAACATTACAGTATGATTCCAGATATTACCAGAAGAAGAAAAGAAGGCAATTGGTTTCAGATGTTTACCATTATAAACACAAGACGCCATTTTGTGAATCCAAACAGAAATGTTACATGTGTCTTTAAGAGTAGAGACCAAGTTAATCAGAGGGATACAAGTTTGAGACAGATCTGCTTCACAGTGCAGAGTGTGTATGAGACAGGTGTGTGTGTGAGACAGGTGTGTGTGTGAGACAGGTGTGTGTGTGACGGTGAACACACTGAACTGATTCCAGCAGCTGATCTGCAGTCAGTTTCTGTCGTCAGGAGAGACTCTCAGACCTGCAGAGGAACCAGAGACACCGAGGAGAGACTCTCAGACCTGCAGAGGAACCGGAGACTCTCAGACCTGCAGAGGAACCAGAGACTCTCAGACCTGCAGAGGAACCAGAGACTCTCAGACCTGCAGAGGAACCAGAGACTCTCAGACCTGCAGAGGAACCAGAGACACTGAGGAGTGTTTAGAGTCGGTGAGGTCCTGATAATTTATTCCGGTAAATTACTCTGACCTACTAATTGACCTGACCGAAGTTATTGAGTCTATGTAAGTTTACTGCTTGGCTCAGATCCACCAACGTCAGCAAGATCTCACCTCTATTAACCCCCCGAAGAACCAGGTTCAATTAACTGCTGTTTCTATTCAGACAACTCTTTTTTAATCTGTTTAAGGGATCCCGAAGGATTTTGATATCAGTAAATGGAGTGTGTTCCTACCTAAGTGTGAGTGTGGCAGGGTGCAGTCTTACCTTTGAAGCAGGAGAGGAGAGCACATATTTTCTTTTTAGTTGTCCCAATCCAACAGGTGAGATCAGTTTATTTGAAGAAAAATAGGTCCAAACTAATACAGGGTTTTTACCTTTTAACACATTATAATCATATGCAACATATCATGCTGGGGTTATATTTTTATCTAAAACCTTAATTCATATTTCTCATCTATCCAAGATCTAAATAAAGCCATTAGTTATAAGATTCCCGTACGTCCTAATAACGCCTTCCAGGATAGATCTAACCTAGAGCCATTTACCCAGCTCTGAAGGACAGAGCCTACCGGAAGAGAGTATACCAGGGGTTTCCCCCTCTCTCTCTCGCTCTCTCAAAAAACCAGTCTCTTTATGCTCAAAAAACCGGATCGAAACCCCAAAAAACACCTCCTCTATCCCCAACCAACATCTTCTATTGGATAGGGCCTAAGACACACCTTCCCATGTTTGTGTAAAAAGGACATGACCACTGTAGGACTTGAAAAATATTATTCTCGGCTATGACATAACCGTTTTTGAGGCCTCAATGTGTTTCTCCTTTAAGGCAGGAGCCCCCCTCCCTGTGATCTGCTGTGAGAAAAAAGGGGAAGAAACTGCCCTCTTCCTTATCAGTGACACCCATAAATCATAGACCTTACACACTCAACCTGAACAAACCACTTTGTTTTGTTTATGCTGTAAATATAGAAAAACCTAAAATATGAAGCATTCTCATTATGGGTTCATACAAGAATATAATTGATCATATATGATTTATAATTAACTTTCGTTTTAAGTATTCACTTCATATATGATTTATAATTAACTTTCGTTTTAAGTATTCACTTCATATGAAGCTCTCAACAGGAGAGACTCTCAGACCTGCAGAGGAACCAGAGACACTGAGGAACCATCAGAAGAGAACCTAAACCCAGCATAGAGAGGTTCAATGAATGTGGTTCTGATGGTGTGGAGGTGGATCAGTGAGTCAGAGGAGACTCTGTAGAAGGAGAGAGAGCCAGCAGGAAGATCCAGATACACTGCTACTCTACCAGAAGGGGAGGAGGTGATACTTGTTGCGCTGTTATTGTGCCAGACATAGTAACCACCATCATCAGAGCACTCCAGACTCCAGGACTGATCATTCCCTCCAAACACACTGTCCTCTCTCTTTCCTCTCCTGCTGATTCCTCTGGAAGTCACTGATACACGAACCCTTCCTCTCCTCTCGAACTCCCAGTAGCAGCGACCACTCAGAGCTTCTCTACACATCAGCTGTCTCCAGTAGTCAAACCTCTCTGGATGATCAGGATATGGCTGCTCCTCCTCCACACGTGTCACCGTTCTGTTGTCTTCAGACAGTTTGAGGTTCCTGTTTACTGTGTTTGAGTCCAGCTCCAGTTCACAGGCATCTGATGGAGAGAACAGCTGCAGGTTATCATCTGTTCAATTATTAACTACTTTACTGACTGACAGAAACCATTCAGACTGACGTCTCATATTCACTGAGAATGATGTCTAACAACCTGATCTTCATCAGCAGGTCATCAATGATCTCAGACCTAATACTTATTATTGTAAAACAAGAGAGAGAGGGAGGAGGAGAGAGGGGGGGTGAGAGAGGGAGGGAGGGAGGGAGGGAGGATGAGAGAGAGGGGGGGTGAGAGAGGGAGGGAGGATGAGAGAGAGCCCAGCTAGCGGGGAATGTTCTCACAAATTTGGCTAACGTTACCTACAGGTTTTAATAATGTTTTAAAGAAACGTTTTAATCTTTTTAGATTTGGATGTTATTGAGGCCTGAGATGACAGAAAGGTTTTTCTAAAATGTTACTTTAATGTGATATGTTAACAAAGGTGGAAGGTTTTGCTTGTTATACCGTGAGTTCTGCGCTAACGGCGTTAGCATTTTTTCGCTCAGGGCTAATTCAGAGGCTCAGTGTTAGTCTTGTGTTTTTTTGTTGCTAAAAATGGTTCATATCATCAGTTAGCTGAGTTTCTTCCCGTTACATGGATATGAAACATTCATACTTTATTAAATATTAAGAAGCCCTCAGACGCTGTTTCCTGCAGATGATGCGTTTTTCCCCCCGGTACCGGGTGGATGGGATTCAACAAGTTAAACTCTCAGGTCCAATGAGTGACACAGCAAGGGAACCCAGTAAGCTGCATTACATCCTACTTACAGGTGGGCCCCAGACAGTGGAGACAAATTCAGCATGGCCTTGAACTCACCTGATCTGATGAATGACATGTCACTATTTGACCAAAATCAATATGTTCCTACCAAAGATGGTGTAAACATGGCCATTGATTATATCAATATGATATTTCACAAGGCAGCTATTAAAGCTGACCTAATCAAACAAAAGCGGAAGCCTGTTAAAAGGCAAAACGCTGACAAATGGTTTGACCAGGAATGCAAGACCATCAGAAAATACCTGAGAAAAATAGCAAATGAAAAACATGGGCAACCAAACAACCCAGCCTTACGCATTAGATACAATGACGTTTTAAACAAATATAAATGAACAATAAGGAACAAAAAACTAAATGATAGCCACATGAAACTTGAGGATATTGAGAAAGCCATTGATCAAAATCAATTCTGGGATCTGTGGAACAACTTCAACACAAAACAACCACAAGCATTACCCATCCAAAACGGTGACATCTGGAGAGAACATTTAGAAAGTTTGTACAAAGACATACCAATAAATCTAATGAATTCAGATCAATGTATTACAAAAGAGAAACTCCAAACATTAGAAGAAACTATTAAAGACAACCAAAAGCCCCTTGATTTCCCAATGACTTGGGAAGAGTTGACCACACAGACACAATCTCTCCGGCCAAGGAAAGCTTGTGGCCCAGACAACATTCAAAAGGAAATGCTCAGATGCAGCACCCCAGAGATGCAGGGCACAGTGTTAAAGCTGTTCAGTATGGTATTGCAGTCAGGATGTTTTCATCTGGTGCAAAGGGCTCATTTCCCCCATTCATAAGAGTGGAGACAATCAGACCCTAAGAACTACCGTGGCATCTGTGTCAGCAGCTGTCTGGGAACATTATTCTGTAGTATTCTAAATAAAATAATACAAGATTTCCTTAACCAGTTAAGCCCGAAGGTCCCCCCAGTGGACCCCTCCCACAGTTTTTTTTTTCTTACATGTCTCAGGGCTTCTTAACATGTATGAAACTATTAATGTTTCATACCCTTTTAAAGGTAAGAAACTCCGCTAACTGACAATAAGAACAATTGTTAGCTAAAAAAAACACAAGAGTAATACCAAGCCTTTGAATTAGCATTGAGCGAAACAATGCTAACTAATGCTAACGCTTTTTTACACACAACACACGGTAGAAATGCCCTTATTACTATCTTAACTGCACAAACAAGATATACGATTTAAAGCTGAGACTCCACAGATTCCACACATGTAATGTCATCACTGTCCGACCTCGAATTCCTGGAGCTATCAGCCAGAAAAGAGAAAGTAAACAACATCCGGTTCCAAAAATATTACAATAATTACGTTTTACCTTTTTTGATTTGTGATCAAAAGTTGTGTTCAACGGAATAAAAACGCATCTCAAGGTTAATCCAATGTCTTTGTGTCACGTATAATTGTTTTACTGATAATCAATCCTCATATTTATGGCAATATACTCGGTATAAAGTATTGCCGTCCAGGCTTGCACTTTCAGATATGCTTCGTTTGCTTCTCTATTACGTCCGCTATGGTAATGTTTACCTAGATTTGGGAACTGCCCATCGATTCTATTGGTTCTGATGGTTAAGAAAAAGGTGTAAATCACACGAATCGACCAATGGGTTCCAGAGATATGGTCCTGCGTAAAGTATAAAGAATGCCAGCCAGCTTAAGTACATTACGCAGCCGACTTCATTTATTGTTTACAGCGTAAAGAAGCAGGTATTGCAGCAGGACCCAGAGCGCACGGAGCACAGAGCGGACAGCAGATAACGGAATTGCAGTTTTATTGCTTATAGATTATCAGAACATTTCAAAGGGGACACAGCCCCATTGGATATTAATCTATGGATTAACTACATCATCGTTTTTATCGTATTAATGCCATTGAAGACCAGTTTAGACCAGACAACGAGGAAGGTAAGTCATTGTTAGCCTAGCGCATTAGCGCTAGCGCCATTTGTTTTGATGTACGTTTTTGTTGATAACGTCGCGAGTTTGTATATTTCAGTGTTGACGTGGGCACCGTTAGATTCTGTGTCTCCTTGCGATCATAAACAATGTGTTGGATGTGCAGCTAGGATAAGTAATAAGGGAGCGAGGAGTGATTTTCGGTGCAGTAATAGGTTAGCATTTTTCGCTCGGGGCTAATTCAGAGGCTCACTGTAAGAGTAGGCCTATGTTTTTTTTTTTTTTTTTTTTTTTTTTCACAACAGTTGTATTTGGATGGAATGAATACCTATAGTGATAATTCAAAGTAATAAAATGATTTTTACAGTGAAAAAGTTCAAATGGAACCGATGGTTCCCAAATTACCCAGAGGTGAGTCTGCTTAGACTTTATTTTTCTAAATCTCTCTAAAAAGGTCAAATTTCACTTGTTTTGCATCAATCTTGATACAGGGTACTTATTATATGTTATAGTTTGGATTCCTAAAGCTTTTAGTCTACTAACCCATCATGCAAGGGTGGTTTTCACTATAAGTAAAGGTTTTTTTTTAGGTGGACATTAGAATTTACATGTTTTTACTATTTTCCATCTGAATTTACTTTAAAATAAAAAACATCTATATTGATTCTGACACTTCTACATCCAACTCACAGATGTAACCTTGCTTTGAGAAAAATAATTATTAATTTACCCCTTTTTAGAAGTGAAGATATATCATTTGTTGTGTTAGTGCAGGGGTGGCCAACCCGCGGCTCTCGAGCCGCATGCGGCTCTTTGCCTAGTTTCATGCGGCTCTTCAGTTCATATCGAATTGTATATGTGTGAGTTTGGGGGAGAGACACTGACTCCTGACTAGTGTTGCACGGTGTACCGATACTTGAAAGGTATACCGCGATACCCTGTCGTTAAAATCGTTACGATTCCTCCGTTTCATTAGTATCGGTACTTTAAGAATGACGGGGAAAAGTACTCCGGTGAGAAAGCGCTGTTTTAATAAGAGCCGTGTGTGTTCAGCGCTCTGCTTCCACTCCCTGCACTGCAGCCGTGCCTGCACCCTCCCCTCTCAAGCACGCTCTAAATCCCTCCCCTCTCTCGTGCACGCGCTAGCTGCCAGAGCATGTGAGAAAACGAGAAGCATGGCTGCAAGTGGGAGTGCAACTGCCGCTGCGCCTCGGCTTGTTGACAACAAATATGCCAGAAGCTACATTTGGAAGTATTTTAGCTATATCTCTGACAGTGAGGGCAAGCCTACGGACACCACGAGGCCTGTCTGTAAGAAATGTATTAATTGTATTTAATACGAATTCTTGTCATTTATTGTATTTACTGTTCTCATTGTTTAAAAGTTTGTGTTATGGTTATGATTCTGGTGTGACATAAAGCACAATAATTACATTTTAAGACTGTTTCCCGTTTTTTAAGAAAAATAATCGGAATCGCAATTCTTGACTTGGTATCGAAACCAAAATGTTGGTATCGTGACAACACTGACAGTTACACCTGATATTTAGTAGGTCTGTTAAGTATTGAATGCCCATCATTCTGACGTAATTTGGCCGGTCAAAGTTGTTTGGGCTCGGATAAAATCGCTCCGTTACTTTGGTCCCGTGTTACTTTCGTCCCGGCTCTCCCTACGTGTGTATGTGTGGTGTCAGGTGTCAGTATGAGAGGATGACAGCGCGTCTCATTTTGATGTGGCCCAACAGCCAATCACAATAATACCTGCAATGCAGTGAACCAATCACCTTTGAGGGGGGGAAACCTATTGTTGATTAAACACTATTCAGTGTTTCCCCTACCATTGTCTTGGAGGGGCACTGCGAGCCGCCAACGGAGCCCCGCGCCCCCCCTGAAATTCAAGGTGTTATATATATACTTTTAAAAAATATATATAGCATCAAATTGCAAATAATCTATAACTACTGTCACTTTTCACATTGAACATGTGCTCTTTTATTAAATAAACTAAACGCTTTCATTTTAATTTGTGGGTTTAGTGTTTTTGACCCTAAGAAACACTGATGCATTAATCAATAACAATAATACACAGCTCCTCTCTCTGCTCCAGAGGATTTTAAAAATATATCCCAATGCCACAAAAATGAATCAGTGACGTGGTTGAAATCTTGTCTCCAGAAAACAAAAAACTGAAACAAGCGGTATCAGTGACTGTGTGTTTGATGTGGCTCCTTGCAGTAACATAGAAAACATGTGGCTCTTAACCTCTGACTGGTTGGCCACCCCTGTGTTAGTGGCATTTTCGAGCCTGAAACCTGAAAAACAGGCTCAGGGCTTAACAATCTCTCCGGCCAAGGAAAGCTTGTGGCCCAGACGACGAATTAACACTCAAAAGAGAGCACTAACATTCTTTAACCACCTTAGGTCCAGCCCCCGAGACACCCTCCACTCCAAAGCCAAGAACTAACCCCAGAGAAGAGTCCCCTATGTCAGCTGGTGCTGAGGCTAGCTGCCCCCTCTCAGAGCCACTCTGACCAGTCTCTCAGCAACACTGCTCTCCAAACACCAATCACAGTCAAACGCATTATAACACAATGTAAACACAACTATTTACAACATTGGAAAGACAAACATTGGTAAATCTGATATGCGCCGGTGAAGATGGACGTTTGGCTCCTCTCCAACTTTGCCCTTTTTCGTATTTTGTGCGTGTTTATTTACTTTTTGCCGTGTTACTTTTAACATGGCAACATGCTATAGCAGAGTTGGGATGATATCCGAAAATTGGCTGCAAATATAAAATTAATTTTCCACCAATAGTCTGCCTTTTCCAAAATACCCAGAAAAATAAAATACCCAACTGGATGGCAAACAACGTATGCATCATTAATTTATAAGAAACTGGTCAGTCTTTGTTTGAAAACATGAGTGGGGATGCAGTATCAATTTATTAATTGGTACTATTCTTTTAAGTCAAATTTTGTTGCAAATTAATTTCTTGGTGTCATAAAAATCTTGAATGTGATGTAGTTCTACCCTCACTCATCCTGTTAAAAACAAGTCTAATTATACAAAACTAAAAAAAGAATACATTTGAAACCCTAAATATATGAGAATATACCTATAACAGTGAAAAGAAGAAGTGAGCTTTCTGTAATGAAATGTATCTGTTGGTTCTGTTGGTTCTGTTGGTTCTGTGTTCACTTTGTTGTGTTCTGGATCTCATGTGGAGTGTAACCTGTGCAGCTCTGAGGAATCAAACTTAAAGCACACTCACACTTCCTCACACCAGGTTTCAACCACTGCAGTCCACCATGGTCCATCCTGCAGGAAGAAACACAGTCAGGATCAACTTCATACACCTTCACTCCAATCCACCATTAAACAGGAAGTAGAGTCCCTCAGTCAGTGACAGAGACTCAGTCTGTCTGTCTGTCCGTCTGTCTGTCTGTCTGTCTGTCTGTCTGTCTGTCTGTCTGTCTGTCTGTCTGTCTGTCTGTCTGTCTGTCTGTCCGTCTGTCCGTCTGTCCGTCCGTCCGTCCGTCCGTCCGTCCGTCCGTCCGTCCGTCCGTCCGTCCGTCCGTCCGTCTCTCTGACTGTCCGTCCGTCTGTCTGTCTGTCCGTCTGTCTGTCTGTACCTGAGTGTCTCCAGTCTCCAGAGTGGATCTTCACGTCCAGCAGACAGCAGCTTCTCTCCTGAGTCTCCTGGATGATTGTAGCTCAGGTCCAGCTCTCTCAGATGGGAGGAGGGGTTGGAGCTCAGAGCTGAAGCCAGAGAAACACAGCCTTCCTCTGTGACCAGACAGCCTGACAGACTGCAACACACACACACACACACACACACACACACACACACACACACACCACACACACACACACACACACACACACACACACACACACACACACACACACACACACACACACACACACTAATACAGTTAGAGAGTAAACATTGAGGTGTGTGTGTTAGTTAATGAAAGGAAAGTTGGAGGTTTCTGTGAATCTTCTCTAGAAGTCTCAACTCCCTTGGCCAGGCAGCGCTGAGACGGCTGTGGTAAAGAATTGAGAAACCAGACTTGAGATTTCCACAGAAGAGATACCAACTCACAGTAAGCAAAACGTACTTGGGAATTATGACAATGACTTTTGAAGTTGTATTGGTTAAAGAAAAAAATGCAGAGGTGAATTTAGGATTTACACAGCTATGGTTGAAATCTGTTTGTTGATTGTCGTTTGATGGTTGTTTGTTTTGTTTGTTGGTCTTGTTTTATGTTGATAAATGTTTATACTGGAGAAATCACATGTATTTGCCTCGTAGTGTGCCTGAGAAGCTTAAGGTTTGACTGAGGGAATATTGATTTGCTTTGCTAGCCGATCCGATATACATGTTTTTGCTGGAGGAATCCCTGTATCTGACCTCGTAGTCTTGAGTTCTGCCTGAGAAGACCCCAATGGCCTGTCTTACGGCCCCTACACCCGGCGGCGTGCGTTGAAGCTTGCCGGCGGGCATGTCTGTCGCTCGACCAACAACCAATCACATGAATCTCCCGCCCCAGACACACAAGCAGCGGTTTGATTGGCTAGAGCTTGTACTGGCATATGATTCGATTGGCTGACGCTTCCGTCGAAGCTTCAAAAGTAGAACATTGCGCTACGCTTTGCTCCCACAATGCAGTTCGGCGAAGCGTGACGTCACCCCATTCAAAGTGAATGGGCAGAAGCGTTGAAGCTTCAACGCACGCCGCCGTGTGTAGGGGCTGTTAAGGTCCAGAGATTTATTGGCTGAGGGGATATGATTTGCTTTACTAGCCAAGTGCACAAAAACAGGGTGGAGGGAACTGCCCATGCCTGTTCGGGTCCGTTCGGTAATTAAGAGATTAATAACCCGATCTGAGTTGAGGGAGTTAAAAAGCAGGGCTCAACGCTAACTTTTAAAAGTGGTTGCCAGGCAACCAGGCATCAGCTTTTGGTTGCCAAAACTGAAAATACGGTTGCCATTTTTAGTCACCTTATATTTTAAATAAATAAGATACTATACAGTTATACATCAACTTAATAATGAAATGCTTTACAATAAGTAATTAACACACTTATTTGAAACTAAAATGGTCGTAAACTTCTCCACCCTCAATTGCTGGTATACTAAACACCAGTAGTGCAGCTGTTGTCATATTCTTCACAGATCCCTCACACATGAATTGAGCAAGTCACTAGTTTCTTCATCATCCGTCAAATTTGGGTTTTCTTGAGCTTTGTGCTGACCCCCACCATAGATCCATTGGCCCTTCAGCATTGAAGTCTTGAGCTTGGTGCTGACCCCCACCATAGACCCATTGGCCCTTCAGCATTGAAGTCTGGATTGGCCAGACTAATACATTTCTAATGTTAAAGAAATGAAAACCATTCACAGTAAGAATTAGATATTAATTATGAATGCTGTAAATTACCTTTAATATGTCTAACTATATTTAAAATGTGTTTTATAGAAGTGATTATATTTGTATGCCAATATTTTCCTATGGTAAAGTTTCGTTTAGCACTTTTATTTTGGTAGTAATAAGATCGGGACTTTTATTTTGAAGGAACTTTTACCGGAAGTGAATGCACAACGGAGCAGAATGTACTTAATATATATTTCGCCTCCTAAGACTTTACACATTTTCTCTTTGCTTTCGTTCGGGTTCACCTTGAGCTTTATCAGTTGAATCACTTTGAACATTTGTTTGAGATGTTGACGGGTTGGCCGAACTTTTTACCCCACAGACAGTCAAACAACTTAATTTGCTTCGCCATTTTTTGTAAAACAAACACACAGCGCACCGCGCACGCGAGTAAACGTGCATCGCTTTCTGGCTCCGTAATCAAACCAATGCACGTGCAACTTAACCTGTTCATCTCTGAGCCTGTTGTTCAGGTCTCAGGCTCGAAAATGACATTCCCAGAACAAATGACCATATCTTCTAAAAGGGTTAAATTAATAATCTCTTTTCTCAAAGTAATGATAAACCTGTGAGTTGGATGTAGAAGAGTCAGAATCAATATAGATGTTTTTTATTTTAAAGAAAATTCAGATTGAACATAGTAAAAAACTGTAAATTATAGTGTCCGTCCAAAAAATATTTATTACTTATAGTGAAAACTACCCTTGGATGATGGTATGGTAGACTAAGAGCTTTAGGAATCCAAAGTACAACATATAATAAGTTCCCTGTATCAAGATTGATGCAAAACAAGTGACATTTGACCTTTTTAGAGAGGTCTAGCAAAAAAAACTCCACTTCTGAGGTGATCTGGGTGGAAATGGCCTTTTTTTTTACCATTTCTCTGGAACCCATTGGTCGATTTTGGTGATTGATATCTCTTTCTGACCGGTAGAGTAGGGCTGTACCCGAATATCCGAATATTCATTCGTTGGAGTACTATTCGGGTTTCAATTTCGTTATTCGGATATTCGTTTTTTTATTTTTATTTATTGAAAACTCCAATATCAACGTAAGAGCTTGTGCCTCTTCAGGGGGTGCTAACACTTAATCATACACTTTATCGTTTACTTTCTCCTTCTTTATATGTAGATATTACTTTTTCTCTGTTAATCTCTGTCACGTTGTTTCCATAGCAACAACAACTTCCTGTCAACAGTGCTAACTCTCCTTCAAAATAAAAGCATGTCCATAAAAAATAGGAAGCCAAGCCAAATTACACTTAAGACACATACAACTGCAACGAAAGTAACAAACACAATGCAATATCCTTTTCAATTTCAAAGAACACACATTGGGTTATATACATTAACAAATAACTATAAAACAACAATACTGTAGAAAAACAAAATGAATGCTGTGAATAAACCAAAATACACGTGTTGAAGCGGTTAGCTGCTGATTATTACCCCCCCCCCCCCCCCCGAATATTCACTGCTGATTACTACCGAATATCCGGAGCCCGAAAAATGGTATTCGGGACAGCCCTACGGTAGAGCCAATAGAATCGAAGGGGAATTTCCACATAGACACCAACGTTAACACAAAAAGGTGGGGGCTTCGCACATGCAGTTTCGCATGAGAGTGAAGCTGCCTCACGCTCTGACATCTGGAAACGGAAAAGCAGGTTTATTGCTTATGGATTATCATAAATCATTTCAAAGGGACACAGACACATTGGATTAACCTATGGATTAACTTCAGCAGCGTTTTTATCGTTTGAATGCCATTGAAGACCACTTTTGATCAGAAAACAACAAAGGTAGGCCATGTTGCCGGTTTCAGCTACCTAGCGCTACATGTTTTGATGTCTGTTCTTGTTATTATCTCCGCGAGTTCCTATCATACAGTGATGATGTATGTACTTATCGATTCTGTGTCGTCTCACGATGCTAGTCGATATGTTGGATGTGCAGTTAAGATAAATAATAAGGGTGTTATGAGTGAGTTTCTGTGCAGTAATGCGTTAGCATTTTTCGCTCGTTGCTGATTCAGAGGCTGAGCGTTAGCATTGTGGGGATTAAAAAAAAAAAAAAAGATCAGTTAGCTGAGTTTCTTCCCTTTTATAGATATAAAACATTCATAGTTTATTAAATATTAAGATGCCCTCAGACGCTGTTTCCTGCAGATGACGCGTTTTTCCCCCCGGTACCGGGGGGGCGGTGTAGAACAGGTTAAGTATCAGGTTCCGACTGGTCACAACAATAATTAAATATCACTCTTAATACAACAAATAATTAACATTATGGCAACCAAAGGCCAAGAAGTGGTTGACATTTTTTCTGAATGGTTGCCAATGGCAACCTGGCAACCGTTACTGTCGAGCCCTGAAAAGATAAAACTTGCCTCGCGACTCTGTGAATTCACTAAATACAAAAGTGGAGGTTTCCATGTTTTGTCAGGCCGTAGTGAGTTAGAGACTCAGTAAAGAGCTAAATGTTTTGGTTTACCATGGGTTCTGTTGGTCAAAGAAGCTGCAGCTTGAGATGTGTCCTCCTATCTCCTGATTTTTGTCAGTGGAGATGTTGTTTATTCAAGGCTGAGAGCTCCAGCCCGGGATGTGTCTGTCTTTGTCTGTGGAAAGTAGTTTTCACTCCTTGTTTTCTCTTTAAACCATAGAGAGGGTTGTTTTTCTATGTTTAGTTTTGTATTGGGAAGTTCATATCCTAACTAAGTATTAATTCGTCCTAAAGACGTCATGATCTAATGACCTTTCAAAATCTGGAACATATCCAAGTTTAGGAGACCTGACAATGTTCGTGTGTGTTTTACACGTATAAAGCACACAAGATATCTGTGCTCATTGGAGCATTACTGTGACTGCTTGAGAGCAAAGGTAATGTTTCCTCGTTATTATTGATTGTTGGACAACAATCAATAATAATTGATCAACCATATCTGTGTTTGTGTTTTATTGATTCCTCTCGGTTTCATTATTTCCTGTTGTGAGAGCTGAATTGCCACAAAAATAGCCTTTTAGTGCCTTGTATTATGTGTGTGTAACGGAGGTGATCTCTGGGGCCATAGATCTCGGCCTCCGTTACGGATTGTGTAGCTTCGTTGGTGGCGAAGTGAATGTAGTTTGTGCATCTGTCTGTGTTTTGGTTTGTCTGTCTCTGTTTCCTGTTTTAGTTTGAAAAGTGTTCCCCCTCCCGTTTTGTCTGTTGCTGCTGATTGTGTTCACCTGGTGTCCTGTGTTGTCTCCTCCCCCCTCACCTGTGTCTTGTTGGTTTGATTGGTCCTGTGTGTATTTAGGTTCTGTTTCCTGTTAGTCTGGGTGTGTGTGAGATCCTTGTTGCTGGTGACTGTGTGCACGGGTAACAGTCATATTGAGGCTGGTATCATGAACCACAAAGGGGAATAAATGCCCACACCGGGTTATATTTTAACTCTGTCTCTGCCTCCTTGCTTGGTCGGGCCGCTCAACGGTCAGCTTCATAGTGTGCCTTTTATCTATTCTTGTAATATTATATTTGTTATAATGTTATGTTCATTGTGAAGCACTTTGGCAAACCCTCTGTTTTTAAAATGTGCTAAAGAAATAAAGTGCTTTTCACTAACCTGAGAGTCTTCAGTTCACAGTGTGGACTCTCCAGTCCAGCAGACAGCAGCTTCACTCCTGAATCCTGCAGGTCGTTGTTACTCAGGTCCAGCTCTCTCAGACTAGAGGACTGGGAGCTGAGGACTGAGGACAGAGCTGCACAGCTTCTCTCTGACAGGTTACAGACACTCAGTCTGGAGAGGAATCAGTCATACAGAAAAAACGTATTACAACTGTTATTTGTTTCTGATTAAATAATAAATAAATGTAATCTGGATAGTTATGTGTTCACGTACAGAGCTTTGTTGGAGTGTTTGACCACTGGCAGCAGCCTCAGAAGAGCCTCCTCTGAAGCAGAGTATTTCTTCAGGTCAAACACGTCCAGATCTTCTCCTGATGACAGTAAGATGAAGACCAGAGCTGACCACAGAGCAGGAGAGAGATTCTCTGTGGAGAGACTTCCTGAACTCAGGTACTGTTGGATCTGCTTCACTAGAGAACGATCATTCAGTTCATTCAGACAGTGGAACAGGTTGATGCTTCTCTCTGGAGAGGGAGCCTCTTCTATCTTCTTCTTGATGTACTGGACTGTTTCCTCTTCAGTCCCTGAGTCACTTCCTGTCTGTGTGAGCAGGCCTCGTAGGAGTTCCTGATTGGTCTGCAGTGAAAGACCCAGGAGGAAGCGGAGGAACAAGTCCAGGTGTCCGTTTGGACTCTGTAAGGCCTGGTCCACAGCACTCTGGTAGAGATGTGTTAGTTCAGGTTTGACCTCATACTGCTGGGAGGTTGTTGGTTCTTCTGACAGCAGGTTGACTCCAGAGCTGATGAAGGTCAGATGGACATGAAGAGCAGCCAGAAACTCCTGAACGCTCAGATGGACGAAGCAGAACACCTTGTCCTGGTACAGTCCTCTCTCCTCTCTAAAGACCTGTGTGAACACTCCTGAGTACACTGAGGCTGCTCTGATATCGATGCCACACTCTGTCAGGTCGTGATCATAGAAGATCAGGTTGCCTTTCAGCAGCTGCTCAAAAGCCAGTTTCCCCAGAGACTCCATCATCTTCCTGCTCTCTGGACTCCAGTGTGGATCTGTCTCAGCTCCTCCATCATACTTGATGTTCTTCACTTTGGACTGAACCACCAGGAAGTGGATGTACATCTCAGTCAGGGTCTTGGGCAGCTCTCCTCCCTCTCTGGTTTTCAACACCTCCTCCAGAACTGAAGCAGAGATCCAGCAGAAGACTGGGATGTGGCACATGATGTGGAGGCTTCGTGAGGTCTTGATGTGGGAGATGATGGTGCCGGCCTGCTCCTGATCTCTGAATCTCTTCCTGAAGTAAACCTCCTTCTGTGGGTCAGTGAACCCTCGGACCTCTGTCACCATGTCCACACACTCAGGAGGGATCTGATTGGCTGCTGCAGGTCGTGTGGTTATCCAGAGGCGAGCAGAGGGAAGCAGCTTCCCCCTGATGAGGTTTGTCAGCAGCACATCCACTGAGGTGGACTTTGTGACATCAGTCAGGATCTCAGTGTTGAGGAAGTCCAGAGGAAGTCGACACTCATCCAGACCGTCAAAGATGAACACGACCGGGAACTGATCGAACCTGCAGATTCCTGCGTCTCTGGTTTCAGGGAAGAAGTGATGAACAAGTTCCACCAAGCTGTACTTGTTCTCTCTCACCACGTTCAGCTCTCTGAAGGTGAATGGAAATATGAACTGGATGTCCTGGTTGGCTTTGCCTTCAGCCCAGTCCAGAGTGAACCTCTGTGTTAAGACTGTTTTCCCAATGCCAGCCACGCCCTTTGTCAGCACTGCTCTGATTGGTGCATCTCTTCCAGGTGAGGCTTTAAAGAGGTCTTCTTGTCTGATGGTTGTTTCTGGTCTGTGTGGTTTCCTGGATGCTGATTCAATCTGTCTGACCTCATGTTCCTTGTTGACCTCTGCAGACCCCCCCTCTGTGATGTAGAGCTCTGTGTAGATCTGGTTCAGAAGGGTTTGGTTTCCTGCTTTAGCGATGCCCTCAAACACACACTGGAACCTCTCCTTCAGGGTGGATTTGAGTTTACTGCACACTGCAGCAGGAGATCCTGAATGAACGAACAACAAGTGGAATCAGTGAGTGGGTCCTGCAGAAACACTGAGACTCTGAACATGTAAGTGTGGCTGTACAGTTTGAATCAGCTCCTCAGAGGACACACTGACGCAGACGTGTGCAGTATATTAACAGCAGAGTTTGTAAATGTAAGCTTCTCCATGTTCCTCCACCTCCTCTCCATCATGTTAAATGTGTTAAACCCTCTTACTGCTCTGCAGACGCTCAGCCAGCTCCTCCTGCTTCATGCTCCTCAGGAAGTGCAGGGTGATGTTCAGAACTGCCTCTCTGCTGCTCCTCTGCTCTTCATCCTCACCGTCCAACACCTCCTCATCCTCACTCTGACTCTCTAAGCCTTCTGGGTAATCTGAACTCAGAGCCTTCTGGATCTTCTTCAGCTCATTTTTCACAAAAGTCACGATGTTCTCCTCCAGCAGCTGGAACAGATTGATGAACATTGATCAGATGAATAACGTTAAAACTAAAGTTATTATGTTAGGGATAATGTGCAGCGAGGAGGACATTATTGAAAAAATAACACCCGACACAAATCTTGACCACCCTCACACTTAGGCAGGGCCACACCTCAATACAGAACCCTCTGGGATCTCTTGAACAGATTTAGTCATATGCCTTCGATCAGCAGTTCATTGAACCTGGTTCTCCAGAAGTTAGCAGAGGTAAGACCTTTTAGAGATCGACCTGGATCCGATCCTAAACTTTCATAGACTCATTAGCTTCTGAAAGGTCAATCAGTAGGTCTGATTAATAGTCAGAGATGAATACAGCTCCACCGACGCAGCAACAGTTAATTTAAAGAAGACAACATGTGATCATCTGTCCGTCTGAAGGCCTGCTGGTCTAAACAGAGCAGCATGGACACAGTCAGGACCTGAATGGTAGATCATCTGTAGTTCACAGTAAATGTATATTTGTACACACCATAAATATGGAGTCCAGGTCTGTGTGATGCTTCGGGGCGGACTGATCACTGGGAACCTCTGAGAACTCCTGCAGAACTCTGTGGAGAAAACATCCAGAACATTTAAAGAGTCTAATCTGCACACAGCTGACTGAAGGTGTTCTGAGATGGAGACAGAATAACAGGGTGACTGTTGCTCAGCAGGAGGAGGGGGAGGGGGTTATAAAAACACCAACATTACTGAGGCCTGAAAGCGTCCGACCATCAGAAGCCTCCCAGCAGCTGATGGTGCGAGGAACAGAAAGCCCCATTATTATCTGGAGCCTGATTTGAACCAGTTTGTGGTGCCTTCTCCAAAGAGAGTCAGATGGTAACAGAGTCCAGTTTGAAATTCTTACCTTTCATCAGCACTTTGTCCAGATTTAAAGTTCATAGGAGACTCCATAGACCAGTCACTCTTCATGGACTCACAGCTGGGTCCAGGTCTCTGCTGCTGGATCCTGAGACTGATAAAGAACAGAGTAATAAAACCACCAGACACTAGGGCTGCACGGTATTGAAAAAAACTGACATCGCGGTTTTTCCCCCCCCTGCGGTATATATTGCGGTTTCTTTAACCTGTTAAGCCCCAAAGTCCCGGCGGGTACTTTACTTTTTATTTTCACGACAGTGTCTCAGGGGATCGTAATATTTAAGAACCTATTAATGTGTTATACCAGATTAACGGACATAATCTCAGCTAACTGACGATACAAACCATTTTATACCAAAACAAAACACAAGTCTCATAAGAAGCATCTAAATGACCCCTGAGCGAAAAATGCTAACGCACTTTGGCACAGAACTCAAGATAAAAGTACCCTTATTACTTATCGTAGCTGCACATACAAGATATCCGATTAAAGCTGAGGTTCCACAGATTATTTAGGTATATAGTATCATCACTGAGTGATCTGAACTCGGACAGGGGAAGCAAACACAGACATCACAACACGTACCTTTACGTAGCTTCTAGTGGAGATGTCTCACCGTAGCTGTCAATCTGATCAAAAGACGTGTTCAATGGCATTAAACGAGAAAGAAAAAACGTGGCTGAATCGGTTAATCCATAGGTTTTTAACGTCTATGTATACAAAAATTATTTAATTTATAATCCATAATTCCATTTTTATGTAAATATCGCAGAGCAAAAGTTAGCTGATAATGGTAGCCACCATAGTGGCTGCTGCTTCCGGTCTTGGTTATGCAGAAGTCTCTCACACACACATGACCAAATAAGGACAGTGTGATTTCCCCTCGATTCCATTGGCTCTGACGGTCAGAAAGAGATGTCACATGTCAAAATCCAGCAAGGTGGGCCAGAGATATGGAAAATCCACCCAAATGGCCCCAAAAGAGGTTTTTTTTTGTGCTAAATCTGTCTAAAAAGGTCAAATATCAGGGGAAGTTCTACACACACCAACACATGAACAAATAAGGAGTGAGAGTGACGACGCGTAGCCAAAACCGGAAGCTGCATACCACCAAGGTGGCTACCATTAGCAGCTAACTTTTGTGATCCGATTTTTACATAAAAATGGAATTATGGATTATAAACAATTGCTTCAAAGCCACAGATACATTATCAACCTATGGATCAACCGATTCAGCCGCGTTTTTTCTTTCTCGTTTTAATGAAAAACTACCACGTCTTTTGATCAGATTGACAGCTACGGTGAGACGATCACCCGTAAAAGCTCCGTAAAAGGTACGTGTTGTGATACTTAAATAATCTGTGGAGTCTCAGTTTTAATCGGATATATTGTATGTGCAGTTTCGATAAGTAATAAGGGTATCTTTATTTTGAATTCTGTGCTAAAGTGCGTTAGCATTTTTAAAAAAAAATGAATAAAACCGCACGTCCCTGCGGTGTGAATACCGCGTATGCGCATACCGCGGTTATCGCCATGACACGGTATATCGTTCAGCCCTACCAGACACCTCACACCGCCCTTCATGCCATTACCAGCTCGCTGCCTGCCGTCAAAGAGAAGGGGGGGGTCGTCTAAAACAATCCATGATTAATGTCTTAATTTGGTAGAGTAATCTTTCTTTGCTCATTATATGATTCACAATACAAATAGAAGTCATTTGAAACCAACTCAAGAGAGGTACGTTGGAGCAGGATTTACTCTTCTCCAGAGAGAGCCAGATAGTAACAGAGTCCAGTTTTTAATTCTTACCTTTCATCAGCACTTTGTCCAGCTTTAAAGTAAAGAGGAGACTCCATAGAAAAGTCACTCTTCATGGACACACAGCTGGGTCCAGGTCCATCTCCAGGTCCATCTTCAGGTCCAGGTCCATCTCCAGGTCCAGGTCCAGGTCCATCTTCAGGTCCAGGTCCATCTTCAGGTCCAGGTCCAGGTTTAGGTCCAGGTCCAGGTTTAGGTATCTTCTTCTGCTTCCTGACACAAACAAGTCAAAGTGAACAAAGTGAGTTATAGCAGATTCTCTCTGGTTCCAGTTCACGGATCAGTTTGCTCTTTCTTTAGCTTCACATCACTTTCAGATGTCCACTTCTTCTTTAGCGTTCCTCTAGAGGACATCTGACTTCTAGCTGAGCAAAAACTACAACAACACAAGAACCAAAGAAACCTCTCTGAAAGGATGGAGTAGAAGAACCAAAGAGCTACAGAACAATGTCTCAGCGTCCGGGAGAAGAAACTCTGAACTCCTCAGAAAGAAGCTGATCACGTGACACACTTTACATTCTCACCTTCCCTCTGCAGGACGTCCAGATTCAAAGACAAGAGGGGGATCCATAGACCAGCCACTATTTATGGACACACAGCTGGATCCAGGTTCAGGTCCAGGTCCATCTTCAGGTCCAGGTTCAGGTCCAGGTCCAGGTCCATCTTCAGGTCCAGGTCCAGGTCCAGGTCCAGGTCCAGGTTTACGTTTACGTTTATGTCTCTTCTTCTGCTTCCTGATACAAACAAGTCAAAGTGAACAAAGTGAGTTATAGCAGATTCTCTCTGGTTCCAGTTCACGGATCAGTTTGCTCTTTCTTTAGCTTCACATCACTTTCAGATGTCCACTTCTTCTTTAGCGTTCCTCTAGAGGACATCTGACTTCTAGCTGAGCAAAAACTACAACAACACAAGAACCAAATAAACCTCTCTGAAAGGATGGAGTAGAAGAACCAAAGAGCTACAGAACAATGTCTCAGCGTCCGGGAGAAGAAACTCTGAACTCCTCAGAAAGAAGCTGATCACGTGACACACTTTACATTCTCACCTTCCCTCTGCAGGACGTCCAGATTCAAAGACAAGAGGGGGATCCATAGACCAGCCACTCTTCATGGACACACAGCTGGATCCAGGTCCATCTTCAGGTCCAGGTCCAGGTTCAGGTCCATCTTCAGGTCCAGGTCCAGGTTCAGCTTCAGGTCCAGGTCCATCTTCAGGTCCAGGTCCAGGTCCAGGTTCAGGTCCAGGTCCATCTTCAGGTCCAGGTCTCTGCTGCTGCATCCTAATACTGATATCAGACAAAGATAAAGATGGCATCTCCTCTCAGTTAACATGAGTCAGCTAAATGGCTCCTGAACCCGACATCGATGAGTTCATTCATTAATAAAAAGACATTTAAAATGTTGATTTGAAAATCATAACAAAATAATTCAATTTAAAACAAATTTGATTGATTAAAAAATAATTTCAAATTAAAATCTACGTAAAAAATATTTGTCAGATTTACACATTTTATAATAAAATGTATTTATTTGATAAATGATGTGAATGATTTAAAAAGTAAATAATAAATTGTGTATTATCGTGTTGAATTAGGAAAATTATTTTATTAAATTCAAACTGTTTTTATTTATTTGTTTATTTTTTAAACTACTTTTGTTGATTCACTGATTATTTATTTCATTTCAAACCTTTATTTAACCAGGTGAATCCCATTGATCTCTTTTTCAAGGGAGACCTACAGCAAGTCAGAAACCAACATAAAACACTGAGGACATCATACAGCAAAGTTACAGGGCCACATTACGGCCCCCGATACTGGGTTTTAAGGTGGATCGGGATCGGCAGATCCAATTAAATGTCATGGCCGATCCATAGTTAATATTTCCCATGATTCCATTGTTACGTTGTTTGTCGTTGTTGTTCTATTGCATCAGCCGCCATTATCGAGTTGGAAAAGTGGAACGGACAAATATCGTTAGCTAGTTAAAATGTCTGCAGTTTGGCATCATTTTAAAATAACTACAAGTGAGTCGCCGACTGCGACATGCAAAGTCTGTGGTGTGGAAGTCTCACGAGGTGGTGCTAACAGGGTCTCCTACAACACCACAAACCTAATAAAACATCTTAAAAAGCACCACCCCGACGAACACGCCGCCTACTGTAAAGCGACAGCGTCTGCGACTGATGGACTCCATCAACAAACACTGTGGGACAGCTTGAAACGAAAGGCTTTACTTCCTCGAGACTCCGAGAGATTTCGCAAGATTACTGAGCTGATTGTGGAGTGCATAGCAGGGGACGACCAGCCAATTTCACTTGTGGAAAACTCCGGTTTTTGTCGTCTAATAAATTATTTGGGTGCCTGTCTATTTCTTAATGTATACGAAATTAAATGCTGTTTGCCAACAAAAAAAGTGATATCGGAAATCGGTATCGGAAAACCGGTATCGGGAAATATCGGGATCGGATCGGAAGCTAAAAAATGAGATCGGGACATCCCTAACATTTACATACCTATCGACATTGACAAGTACCAACAGCATCAGATTGTAAAGCATCTGTCCGAGCTTTAAAAACAGGCAGGGGAACCAGATTGCTCAGTTTCCATTCTTTTGGCAGACTGTTCCAAGCTAGAGGAGCTGCACATCTAAAAGCTTTCTTCCCTAAGACAGTCCTAGCACTTGGCACATTTAACAAAACCACATCATGAGATCTCAATGGCTACTTTCAACTCTCTGTGAGATCAGAGCAGAGATAAGGTGGTAGTTTACCCAGCATGGCTTTATGTACCAATGACTGAGCCTCCGTAGTGAAGGCAGACCTGCCCTCGCATACAGGGTACAGTGATGAGTAAGTGCTTTACAGTTAGTAACACATCTCAGAGCACTGTGATAGGCGGCATCTAACTTGTTCAGGCAATAGGCAGGTGCATTCATATAGATCAGATCACCATAGTCCAGCACAGGTCAAAAGGTCACAGAGCCTTTTCCTGGCCTCAAGCGAGAAACAGGACTTATTCCTGAAAAAGAAACCTAGCCTAACCCTCAGCTTTCTAAACAGGTTATTGACCTGAAGTTTATGATTCTTGTCATTGATGTAAACATTATTAATTTATCAAAATGTATTTAATTGATTAAACAAATATTCCTCTTCATTTAAAGGTTTTAATGGAATGTATTAAAGAAGTGAAAAAATGCTTTATTACATTTATATTTTAATTATTAAAAAGTAATTTTACTAATAAAATATTTTGTATAAACAATATTATTGATTTGAAAACGTTTAGTCTAAATAAATGAATATTGTATTGATTTAAAAGTATTTTTAGTATTTATTATACTATTATTTTATCGTGATAAAAATGATTTAATCTATTTAGGAAATATTTATTAATTTAATGTATTATATTTATTAAATAATGCTTTAATATAATAATAATAATAATAATAATAATAATAGCTTTGATTTATATAGCGCCTTTCAAGTGACCCAAGGTCGCTTTACAAGTAATAGGGCAAAAACAAACATAACAAAACAAAAGTCAGACAGACAAAACCACAGATCGAGTTAGGGGCCGAAAGCCTTGACAAACAGATGGGACTTGAAGCCCTTTTGAAGGCGTCAAGTGTGGGGATGTTGCGAATCTCCGCAGGGAGAGCGTTCCAGAGGGTGGGGGCTGCCACACTGAAGGCTCTGTCCCCGAAGGTTCACAGGTTGGTGCGGGGGGTGGTGAGCAGGCCAGAGTCTGAGGACCGCAGGTTCCGGGGTGGGGCATGTGGGCGAAGGATGTCCGATAGGTACTGGGGGGCAAGGGCATGGAGGGATTTGTAGGTAAGGAGGAGGACTTTGTAGGATATGCGGGACTTGCCCGGCAACCAGTGTAGGTGGATGAGGGTGGGAGTGATGTGCTGCCACGGCTTTGTGTGCGTGAGTACCTGTCCAGGGTTTTGTTGGGAACCCCAAACAGGACACCATTGCAGTAGTCCAAGCGGGAGGTGACAAACGCATGCACTAGGGTTTCGGCAACCGACTCCGAGAGTGACGGTCGGAGTCTGGCAATGTTCCTCAGGTGGTACAAGGCCGATTTGGTCACGGATTTGACGTGGGAACGTATAGAACGTTTTTACTTAATTCAATATATATATAAATCAGCGTTTCCGCCAGGGGGGCGTCTTGCCGTCATTTTACGCCCTTATTCAGCTCGGGACGCCCTGGGGCCTCATTTATAACGCCGTGCGTAGGATTCACGTGGGAAGGTTGCTTACGTAGAATAGTTACAGAAATGTTCCAACATTTTCCGATTCACCAAACATTGCGTACCGGCGAGGAAAGTGTGTACGGCCCTTCCTACGCCGGTTTCCTTTATAAATCACAATCGACTCGAAATGCGGTGCAGCTTTTGCGGGCTTCACGTAACGCCCATATTTGCCTATAAATAGTCAAAGAAATGCCCATTCATTCATTCATTCATTCATTCTGACTGACTGCATGAAGGAGATCGCAGGAAATGACGACAGAAAGCTAAAACAGACGTCTCACACCGTGTCAGATTCTGGTTATGTTGGGGAGGTGGAGATAAATCATATTGTTTGGTGGATGCAGTTTGAACCAGAGTAGCAGCATGGAGGTCGGATCGTCACCAACATAAATAATTGGTCCGAAAAAGGTTCATGACAAAAACAATACACATAGCCTTCCTCAGGCAGTGTGTTTGCACCGGGGACAGGAGACCCCCCCCTTGATGAGAGACTGTAAGAAGTGATCGGGGAATCCCTCCGGAGTGGAGTCATGACGACTGATCTGAATTATGTGTTTGTATTTGGTGGTTTGTGTCCCAGCTGTCGATCAGCAACTCTATCTCCATAATCCACCAGTTAGAGGAAACACAACTAATGTGTTATATCAGCTGTACAATTGACCACATGCTGTTCTTAGCTTCCATACCTCCTGTGTTTTACGAGCGACTTATCAAGTCTTAGCAAACGGCATAAAACACGATTAAACGTGATAGTATATAAAACCATGCTCGTATCTACAACCTATAGAAAAGCAACACGGCGTCAGTTTAGACGTAATTCTGTCCTCCTGCTCACCGCATCATTTATGAGGAAACATTTCATAACAAGAGAACATCATCGAGGGGTGATAATAACACAGGGAGGCTGTGGTGCAGTGGGTAGTGCGTTGGTGTCGGGATCAGGGCGTCACAGGTTCAAACCCCACTGCAGTCAGCATGTCGTTGTGTCCCTGAGACGCTTCACCCCAAAGTGCCCACAGTATCGAGTACTGTACAGTACGGTGTCGCAGTTTCTCGTCTCTCCCGTTGTTGTGCTTAGTGCGTACGCATGGGGCAGAGTTTGCGTGGAGGACCGCACGTTTTCCCGTCAAGTTAGTATTTTATAAATCGCAAACATTGCGTAGAAACTGGCGTACGCCATTTTTTTAGCGTATATCCCTTTAGAAATGACGCCCCAGGTCTGGCGGAAACACTGATATAAATACTTGAATTGATCAAAACATATATTTTATTGACTTGGACTTAGTCAGGGTTGCCAACTCTCACGCATCTGGCGTGTGACACACGCTTTCACTCTCAATCTCACGCTCTCACGCTGCCCAAACTATTCTCACGCCAAAACAAGAATACTGACGACTAGAAACGGTTTTGAAAACTTTTGTCACGTAGTGATCGTCTTCTCAATAGAACATCTTTGATAATGTCTTCTGGCCAATCAGAATCAAGATAAAAGCGTGGTGTTGTTGCAGGAAGTCCCGACGGAGAATACTTTTGCTGTAGTACATCTCTATACGTCGATACAACATTACGTGTTGATAGAAATCAACACATAATGAAATGAGACCCCACGGTTTGATGATTGATAGGTGTGTGGGCTGACACACAGAACAATGGGGGCTATCCACCCTTATCCACAATGTAAAGTAACTCACAGCCTCTTCCCTCTTCTCTCTGTGAGGAGCAGCAGGTTCAGCTTTCAGAACAAAGTAACAAAAAACTAAAATGGCATTCATTTTTTTAAATATGTCGTGTTGTAATAGATGTATTTATTGTTCTTCTCAAGAGAGTACCAGAATGTGTATTTTATGTTAGTATTTCAAAAGATCTCCTGGGGGACAATCCCCCAGACCCCCCTGCAGGGGTTGAGTTTTCAGCATGTCATCTCTTTCACCTGTGGGGAAATTGCAGGATTGGCTCCAGGTCGCCCTTTTTATTTACTACAAGACAAATGTGCCTTTTTATTTCATACAGTTCAATTTGGATTGAGACAGGGAAATAATCTAAACCTCACGCGTGGCGTTTCACTGTCAAGGGGAGCGTGTATGTAATTACATTGCAAATACTGACTTGAGCCCCACCACTGTATGGGTTAGCCCTACCAGAGATTACCCAACAAAAACACTCCGGAGCCGCCACTGCCGACCCGTATTGCGCATGCGCAGATCTAAGAATCAGTAGAAATGATAAAAAGTAAAAGTCTGCTGCTTATTGTTCTACTAGACCAAAATAGAGTCAAAGAGTATATGAGAGTGAGAGTGCGTTAATTAATATATTTGGCAGTTTGGAGTAAGTCTGTAGATGTAGATGTGTGTGTGTGTGTGTGTGTTTCATGTATAGGCCTCTCACGATCATTAATTTTGTTGGATACATTTTCCCGGAAATTATTGCAATAAACGATAATATTGTCGGCACCGTTGTATGACCATTTTAGACCACTGACATAATGATAATATATAATAATAATTCAAGTACATCCTTTCAAACTGCTAGTCACATCCTCATGTAAATGGAAATGTATCAAGTTCATTTTTATTTATCATACGATAAGTCAATTAATTGCTTATCGCGACAGGCACACAATAAAACAGTGGAAACAAACATGCAGGGCTCGACATTATAAATGGCCCGCTGGCCCGGAAGCACTATTTAGACACCCCGGGCCAGCATAACGTACTTTCCACTTGCCCGCTCGGGCCACTAAAAATATTGTTTAAAAAAAAACGTTTCCTGTGGTATTGGTATTTTGACTAGCAATTTTATTAAATTGTTTCGTTTATCAACGCTACAATATAGCGTTTCGTGAGTTGCTTGTCGTTGTTGGGTGAAAAGCAAACAGCTGTTTGCTGCGGAGCGCAGTGCGAGCAGGCTCCCGTGAGCGGGAGCGCGCTCCTTCACTACAGACTATGAGCCACCTAACCATTCGCCAAAATGTTTTTAATACCAGCGGTAACCGGCCAAGCGCCGTGCAAAAAACAATCTTCAAATAAAAGAAAGTCTCCGGAGGAGTTAAAGGAGAGTGACAGGGAGCATGAGAAGAAGAGGGAGAGAAAGTTTCAGCTTGATGGATGGAGTTGGCTTCTATAGAATGGTGCAGTGACGCATCCTAAAACCCTTTTATAATCTATCGATTAGATTTATGATTCGAAAATTATAAAAGTAGGGTAGACATGTGGAGATTATCCGGCTGAACAAAACGTGCATTTATCAAACAGGTTTGTTTTCCACAGACCTTATTTCCAGCTATTTTCCAAAACCCTGTGGAGAAATCCCATTGCTTTCTGTGGAGGGAACCAGCAGCTTACTTCCTGGTTTCAGGACGCGTCACTGCACCTCTCAATATGATGCCATATAAACAAGGTCTTCTGTCGGCTCTGTACATCAATGCCGACCTATGCTGACAAGTAAGTGAAGAGTAGACAATATAAAGGTATTGGCTTTAGGGAAATGTCCCAGCAATTTAGGATAATGAAGGATCTAATCTAATCTATTACATAGCCATTACATTTCTAACTCCTGATGACAGGAAGGCAGAAAGTGCATTATACAAATAATAACACTCATAATAATAGCAGACATTTTTTAACAATGACCACAATATCATTATTTTAATAAACCAAATATGAACAATTGAGGGAAATGAGGAAGAACTGATGATTCAAATGTTGTAGTAAAGTAGTAATGTAGTTAGTGCATACATTACTATTGCAACAAATGTGTTAATTTTCTTCATTATTAGTCGATTGTTTTTGGACGAATGCTCCGGGCCAGTGGTTACAATGGTGGGGCCAGTGACAATACAATTCCAGTGGCTTTTTACCCTTAATGTCTACCCCTGACATGTGTTTGACTTTCATTAGTGAATGAAACTGTGTGCCCTTTATAGTCTGTGTCCAATATTGTGTATTTGTATATATATATATATATATATATCCTATATATAAATAGATATCCTATATATATATCCTATATGCTAAGGTCCCGCTACTGACACGATAGCAGTCATTTCGTGCACATATGTGTAATCAAACCCATGATACCAAAATCTCACTCCAGCCAGGTGCCCAAAGTTGGCAACCCTAGTATTGATTTGATTTGTATAGATTAGAAATAGTTTATTATAAGCTTTATATTGTGTTGAATGTTTGATTTATTGACCTCAGAACACATATAAAAATAAGACTCTCTTCAGTCTGTCTCATTCCTGAAGTATTGATTTTAGTTAGCATGTTGTTAGCATGCTGTTAGAGCAGCTGTTATTATCAATAATATAAATAACTGTTAGCAATAAACACATGAGAGATGAGTCTGAGGTGAGAGCAGAGATCAGCTGAGAGTCATTTCACTCTGAAAACTGTCACTTACCAAGAGTTTAACGAGGAGGAAAACTTCTGCGTCACAACGGGAACAAAGTGAAAGTAACTTCTGACACCGGAAGTCCCCACAGAGAACAGGTCGGGAGAGAAGGTGAAGTGAATCATTAGCTGTACATCAGCTCCATCCTGTGGCAGCTCATGGTATCACAACTACTGTCAGTGCATATTAAAGGAGACTGCAGTCTAACTCAGGCCCGGCTCCAGGATGAAATGACTGAGGGGGCTGTTAAAAAATCCGAAGGGGCGTTTTTTTTTCACAACAACAAAAAATACTGGCAATGTAATGAATTGAAACACCAAGCTTTTTTCCTTCTCACTGCTCTACAATCTCTTTGCTTCTTTATTTTTATTCCGGATTGACCCCTCTCGTTCTGTTCTTTTACTCTGATCTTTAACGATAGTACTTTATTAGATGGCTGCACTTTGGTTCACAGACTAACATTGATTTCCTCAATTTATAAATGGACAGGCTCTGTAATTATACCATACCCTGTTCTCCTCTATCCCTTAACTCAGGGGTTTCCAACAACAGTGTTACTGCCGGGCCGCGAAATAGCTGTGAGTTTATCGTAATATTTGCAGAATTACAAATATATAAAAATATTTTATCATAATATTTTTTCGCACCTATACCAGTCATATTATTTCATCCAGTTAAACTTTCATCCAGTTCATCCTAGTTAAACTTCCACCAGAAAACAGTTGAAAATGGCTTTTATGATGTTCCGAGGGATTCTGCGGATAAGGTCTCAGCCTCTCGTTCGCACGAGAAAGTTACCGGTGCGCCAAGTAGGAAGAGGAGCGCACAGGAGACAACCGTTTCTTTGCAGACTGTTATGTTTATGTGGGGAAATGGCAGTGCATATATTATTTGAGATATATTTCAAACTCGGACTTCATTTTAAGGATATGTCGGCCAGGGGTGTAGAGCTATTTGTTTAAGCACCGGATTGGCAAAACAGGAGAGTCTCAGTCTGTAAACCAGTCTGCCTTGATCTATGAACATGTTTGTTTGTTTGTAGCCTTTATTTAACGAAGCCCCTTGAGATCAAAAGATCTCTTTTTCAAGGGTGACCTGCAAAAGAGAGTCCGGGACTCTCACGGTATCTGCTGCCCACAGCTGTTTTATAGAAGGAAAACCTCCTTCACTTCATGAAATGGCTGCAGCACCAGGAGGCAGCGGGACGTGTAACACCACCTCTGAGAAGTGCAGCACCAGCGCGCCGAGAGCTGTGCCTTTTTACGCACAGCCTTCACTGTGTTTACCTTCTTCAGAACAGCTTAAGAATGACTGCAGGCTGCTACGTGTTAACCACACACACCTCTACACACACACACACACACACACACACCTCTACACTTATCGAACTGCCCGATTATTCCCTCTATTACTCGTTTTATTAAGGAGATGTCCGACCACCAAGGCGCATGATGTGTGTGTGCACCGGAACGAACGACACTATCATAATATCTTCTGAAAACAAATGCCAGTGTCACACACACACACACACACACACACACACACACACACACACACACACACACACACACACACACACACACACACACACACACACACAACCTGGCGATCTGCTTCATATTGCGCCTTCTCCTCGTTTTCCCAGCATTCACTGGATAATCCGTAAATCATACAAACAAATCCAAAACGTTGATTTATCTGTTTTCCCGTTTTGGTTTAAAAATTAAATAACGTCGTTTTTTTGGTTTTCCGTTTTTGCGAAAAACACTGGTTGTTAGGATCTGTCTGTGTTGGTGTTTTTCTTGTCTTTTTCTATCTTTGGGTTTCCTGTTTTATTTTGTAAAGTGTTTGTAAACCCCCGTTTCCTGCCTGTTTGCTTTCTGTCTGTTTCCCTCCCTGATTACCCGATTGTGTTCACCTGGTGCCTCTGTGTTTTCTCCTCCCTCCTCACCTGTCTCGTGTTTATGTGATTAGTCCTGGGTGTATTTAAGTTCTGGGTTTTCTGTGTCTCTTTGTCGGGTTGTCTTGTGTTGTGAGTAAACTGCGGTGAGTGTTCTGTTCTGTCTCTGATATTGTAGCCTTGAAATAAAGGGATTATTTTGTCACTGAAATCTGCATTTGGGTCCTGCTTCCTGCACACTGTAACACTGGTTCTTTTTGTTGTTATTAAAGGAGGCATGGAAGCATGTTCACCAAAGAATTGAAGAGCCTGAAAGAAGCGGGTTGCATCGAGATAGCGCAGATACATTACATTTCATTTAGCTGACGCTTTTATCCAAAGCGATTTACAATAAGTGCGTTCGACCAACAAAATACAAACTTGAAGAAAACAGAATCATATAAGTACATCAGGCTTCATAGAGCAAAAACATTTCAAGTGCTACTCAACTGGCTTTAGATAAGCCAGCCCTTTATTAGTATATAAGTGCTTTGTTAATAGTTCTATCGCTCGAAGTGGAGTCGAAAGAGATGAGTTTTCAGTCTGCGCCGGAAGGTGTGTAAGCTTTCTGCTGTCCTGATGTCAATGGGGAGCTCATTCCACCATCTTGGAGCCAGGATAGCAAACCCACGTGTTTTCGCCGATGGGAACTTGGGTCCCCCTCGCAGCGAGGGCGCAGCGAGCCTTTTGGTTGATGCAGAGCGGAGTGCACGTGCTGGGGTGTACGGTTTAACCATGTCCTGGATGTATGAAGGGCCAGATCCATTCGCAGCATGGTAAGCAAGTACCAGTGTCTTGAAGTGGATTCTAGCAGTTACTGGAAGCCAGTGGAGGGAGCGGAGGAGCGGAGTGGTGTGGGAACATTTAGGAAGGTTGAAGACGAGCCGCTGCATTCTGGATGAGCTGCAGAGGTCGGATGGCACATGCAGGTAGACCAGCCAGGAGGGAGTTGCAGTAGTCTAGGCGTGAGATGACGAGAGCCTGGACCAGAACCTGAGTCGCTTTCTGAGTCAGCTGGGGACGTATCTTCCTGATGTTGTAAAGCGTGTATCTGCAGCAACGGGTTGTAGCAGCGATGTTTGCAGTGAAGGACAGGTTGTTATCTAGGGTCACACCCAGATTCCTTGCAGTCTGAGTCGGGGAAACAACTGAGGTGCCGATGTTGATAGTTAGGTCAAGAGTGGGACAATCTTTTCCCGGGAGGAAGAGCAGCTCAGTCTTGTCAAGGTTGAGTTTGAGGTGATGAGCAGACATCCACTGAGAGATGTCAGCTAGACAAGCAGAGATGCGTGCGACGACCTGGGTCTCTGAGCGGGGGAAGGACAGAATTAATTGGGTGTCGTCAGCGTAGCAGTGGTAAGAAAAACCATGCGATATCTCCTGAGAGCAAGCAGAGCTGATATCAGTAGCCTCACAGTGCACCAGATTGATGCATTTAACTCCAAAATAAAAAAACAAATCTTCGCGGGGGAGCATGCCCCCGGACCCCCCTATAGGATTTGAGAGGTCCACCCCCAAATAAAACATGTTCATATGGATAGGCTCCCAAATACATATGCACACTATTTTTTAACAATATCCTATGTCCATATGTTTATATTTAAGTAGTAGATTTAAACTGTAGGGCTATCACTAAGGGCAGCAACATTGTATATTGACGATACATCCAGCAAAACGCCCCCACAAAACTGGTAGTGGCCTGGCTGGGTGTATAATTCCCGACCTGACCTATGGTCCCAGTCCGGCCCTGCTGACACATCACACACACACACATTACTGATTAAACTGATATCACAATTGAGTTACTCTCTTTCAATAGATATACTGTAATTGGAAAATAATCAAGTGTGGTGTCCTTGTTTTGTCCGTCCTTGAGCCAGGGCTCCCTATTGTTGTATGTAGGTTATTCTTGGTTTTAGAATTAATTCAGTAATGGTGTGTGTGTGTAATAATACATCATTGGATAGTGTTTCTCAAATGAAGGGGGAAAATAATGAAATAAAGTAATGTATCAAGACTCAGTACGAGTTATTACTTTCTTCCTATACTTGGCATTCTTCAACAATACACAGACATTGCAGCACATCGTTTCAGGTCTTTGTGCAGCCTGTCTCAGCAGTAGAGTAATGTGTTTGCAAACCTTTGTTTCCTCCTAACAGAAGCACTCACTTAAAGATATACTCCCTCTTGTGGCCAAAGGGGGACACAACTCTTGTCTTCAGATGCACTATGCTTGAGTGCAGGAAAATGTAGCACAGTGACTATTTTGTCAACTAAACATCATAAAACAATACATATTTTAGTAAACAGGACATTATAATCTCCGCACATTAACTCTATATGTGCCTCTGCCATGCTGCCAAAATGAAACGAAATAAAATAAACAATATAGGGGTTGCTTCTTCTCTGAACTTCTATACTGCATCCCTCCATATCAAATAAACCATAAACAAATACATAAAGTCGTGTTTAATGCATTATATCTATTTATACTACTTTTATTTTTACGATTTTGAAATTATTTATTTATATATTTGATGTTTTATGTATTAATATGAACTCCTTATTTATACCTTTAATGCATTACTTTCAGCCATTTATTTGACCAACATCTTTGTAATCTCTTTAAATATTTAATGAGCCCTTTATTTAAAGATTTATGCAGTACTTTATTTCTACCATTTTGTTTTGTTTTATGTTATTGAACTCTTTCTAATGAGAGATGACGATATGAGCATTTGATTGGTCGGTTGGCACTCAATGGGCGGGGTTTGTGTTTGTGCTCGGCTGTTCATTGGTTGTTTTAGGAGGCATTTCATATTTAACATGTTGCCAGTACTTTCAAATACTTAATTACCCGTTTTTAAATCATTACATATTATTTTTTATATTTTTACGATGTCTATTATTTTATTTATTTGACTTGTATGTTATTGAACTCTTTCTAATGAGAACTGATGATAACGGCTGTTCATTGGTTGTTTTAAGTGGAAGAGGCTCGCTCGTCGCCTGCCCATTGGTTGGTCGATAAAGCAGTGGGCGGAGCTAAATTTGAACCAGAAACAGGTTTCAGGTTTCATTAGCATTGAAGCTAAACTTCGTCACTAACAGCGGAGACTTCTGAGACACTTTCCCCGTCCT